TCTCTTAAATCTCTGCTATCAAGTATAAAGTCATGACTTCAGGTTATTAATCAGTCTAATTCAAATTGTTTGTTTGTTTTACTGGGAAAAGCAAACCCTAGGAGGTGACTGTTATTCATATATTTAGTATATGTCCTTTCAATGTAATAGGATCCATCTGTTTATATATTTTTTACCTCATTTGGGTGAAATCACTGATCATATTTTCTTCTACTTTTCTTTGTTGAAAATATATTTTTTTCTTACATAATTCATTCTGATTATGGATTTTCTTCATCCACTCCCAACCCCTCCCCAGATACTTTCCATCAAGATCTACCCCATGTCTGTCTCTCATTAGAAAATAAACAGGCTTCTAAGAGATATTAATACATTGAAATTAGGTAATATAACAAAAAAAGCAAGCAAATACGCAAACAAAAAATCAACACACCAGAATTTGACTAAACAAAACTGGTAACTTCAGTTGGTCAGAGCATGGTGCAAATATACGTATTTTAATAGACAGTTTATGGAGAAACTTTTCCATCACATGTAACGTGCCTTTTGTTTCTTAATGTTATCAAGTAAAGAGAAAAATATTTTAATTTTGATACATTCTACCTCATGGTTTCTCTTTTGCTATGTGTATTTATATTCTGATTAATACTTATTGACTTCAAGAGTGCGAAGATTTCTTCTAGGAGGTTTTACAATTTTTCTTAGCTTTATGATCACCCTTGAATTAATAATGGAGCAAAAATGTGTTTCCTTTTGTGAGTCTTCTGCTCAGTTGGTTCTTGTATATTGTAGCAGCTATGCACACACAGTAAGTATTGAATCTGGAGCTATGTCTTCAGGAAATATAGCACTTTTTCCTTTGAAAAATACTTTTGAATTTTAATGCATCTTTTGGTTTCACACATCAGTTTGTCTTTAGATCTTTTTAAATGCTTGCCTGTGTTTCACATAATTTGTTAAATTGCTGTCTGAGCAATTTAAGTTTTTGAATTTTATTGCCACTTAAATTGTACTTTTACTAAAAAACTTGCATAGTTTATGAAATATGATACCACTTATCTTTAAAATACGGCACCACTCTACGTTAATTAATTTAGCTTTGGTGCTCTAATACAGAATCTCCCTATAGCATTGCCTAGAATTTGCTGTGTGTAGCAGGCTGGCTCATACATTCTAGGATTATAGATGTGCACCACCACAACTAGTTCTATGTATTTTATTTGTAATGAATAATTAGTGAATATTTGTTTTTAAAATATGCAAGGAAGCAATGCTCCCGAAGTTTTTGATATTTAAATAATGATCTTAGCTGTATTTTAAGCCTGCTTTTTTCAGTGGGAACTGCAATGAAACCAACCCACCTCAAAGTTTCTAGATATTAGATATCCCATAACTGAAGTAAGAGGGAGATTGTATATGAAGAGTTTTACCTTAAGAAATGGATATGTTGGATTAAAGGAAAGTGAAGGTTTTCTGAACTTCTATGGTGTGTTTGGAGCCTGAGTGAAATAGAGAAATCCCAGGTATGCATAAGAGAAACAAATGCATGAAGGGGTAGTAATCAACTTAAATTTTTTCTTTGTATCTAACAATTAAAACTGGATTCTTTCAAATACTAGCAGCTAAACTGGTGCCAACTTCAATATTTCATTTGAATGTGCAATCAGAGAAGTGCACTGAATCTTGAAGTCTCCACTCAGTTCAGCTCCATCCCTGTTCAGGTTTCACTCCCAGGCTGACAAGACAGCATGCCATTGAAGAAGAACGTACCCCCTGAGACAGGATTCATTTTAAGTCTGCAGCCTCAAATGCTAACTCGAGACCAATTGATCTGTCTTATGTTTAATAACAATATATATGTTTTTGTTTGTTCACACTTGTAAGACATTAACTATTTTAGACACCATTGTCTTCAGAGAATTATCATATCTTCTCCATAGCTTTTCTCTAAATTCTTCTGGAAGATATCTAATCAAGTATCCATGATCTTACTTTAATTTTAATTAAACTTAACTAACTCTAGCAACTTGGGTTGAATTCCACCATCCAAGACAAATCATAACTATAACACTCTCTCATTTGATCTTTCTTTCAGTTCTAGATCAAATTCTTGTGTTGTACTTGGATTCTTTAATGATATCTCACATAAACTCTCATTTTACTATCTTAAAGTATCTTTCTGTATATTCATTAAATAAAACCAAACATATTCCATGATAATCCTTATTTTTCTTAAAATTGTTGTATTATCTACAATTTAAACTTCTTTATTCTTTGAGTGGGTTTCTTGAAGAAGAGTCAATGTTTATATCTCTCTTTTGTCACTTTCAGTCATAGATCAGACAACTTTAAGTGGTTTTCTTTTTCCAATACGCAATTAAATTACTTTAATAAAGACACTCAATGGCCCAATTACCATAGCTAATGACTAAGAACTTCTGGTCTTCACCTTATTCTACTGTAGTCTTTAATAGTGCTATTGATGTTCCTTTGTGACACTGGCGACCCCACTCTATCTGACTCTCCCTCATTATTAGACTATTACCTTTCTAATGGCTTTGAAGCATCCTGTTCCTTCTTGCCCGTTTCATTCACTCATTGCCATATCATAGTAGCTGCATCTTGTATCATTCTTGGGCAATTTAATGTGTATTAGCTCATATTTATATGCTTTAGACTCTAAATTAAGATCCATGGGTTCTCTCCAGTGCTTCAGATTGTGTGTGTGTGTGTGTGTGTGTGTGTGTGTGTGTGTGTGCACGCGCATGTGTATGCTCATGCCTTCATTTATAAATAAAACTACCTATTGTATTGTTGGTTGTTTATTTCAAACTGACCTCAAGGTCATATTCCAAAATGAAGTGAATCACTTCTCCTCCATCCCTAATCTGGTAAATCTCCTTTACTCCTTTTCAACTTCTTATACACACTGAGGATCTACTTATTAAGAGGGGCACTTACTTGGACTCTTCCAAGAATTCCAGCAGTCAAACAGAGAACTGTCATTCCCCTACCCCATTTATAATGATTCTCTACGATTTCTTCTTCTGTCTGATAATACTCTGACCACCACTTTTTCAGGGCTGGTCTGGGTATTATAGTATGCCATTGGGACATCATCCTTTCCTTGCGATGGTATCTTTCATATGCCCATCAAGGTGACATAACATACTGATCCCCCTTCCTAAGACTCTCAAGCTTCTTCCCCTTCACAGTTATAGCATGGCATTCCGTATTCTCAGCATAACGTCTCTCCAGTTCTTCTTGTTTGTATTTCTGTCCTCAGTCATAAATTATAACACTTGAGAAGTTGCCAGAAATCTTTTAAAATCTTGCTTTGGTGTATCACCATGACTTGGAATACTTCCATATTTTTTCTTTTGATTCCATCAACTTTTACTTGTTTTTGAAGGCTTTCAGTTACTAATACATAGCTCATTCTACAAGGCATGACCTGTATTTCTTTTTCTTTCTCATACTGGATCGATACAACTCCTCTGCTGAGTTGTTGTATCCCTTTGTTGTTACTATTCATAATATTGTCTTTGTCTAATCTCCTTACAATTATGTCTTCCAAATTTAACGTTCACAAGTGGATACCTATCCCAGTTTCCTAACATAAAGATTTAAAACAGAGAGAGAATGAGGGATACCTTTTGTGGGAGGCTAGATTTTTCCAGTTTCCCTTGCTCTGTTATATATACCTTTTATCATGTCACCACATGTGACAAGAAATAGACAGGGTGGGATAGCATTTTCATTATTGGCATAACAGTTGTGTTTAAATTAATGTAAAAGGAACTTTTTCTGGGTAGGAATTACCTAGTCATGTGAATTTTTCATTGTTACTTGGTTTTCTTAAGGCAGAGACACTTTTCGAGTATTACTGAAGAAGATAACTTTGAGTCTTACAGTCACAAAGAATTAGGCTTACCCATGGCTATGTGAGTCTATAGAACTACCCTGTTTCTTAGATGAGAACTCAGGCCTGAATTGATTCCAACTTATTGTTGTGTGAAAGCCAGAACATACAAAGAACAGTGCTGCTATTGCTAATCAAATGAAACTATGGAGTTAAGAAATAACATGATGTTTTAGTCATCTGGCTTGTGATAAACTGTGTCTATTTTTCATAAAGATCTGTACTTTAAAAGTACATGAGCTAAAAGCACCCAGATTGAATAGCTCAGAACTGTCTATGGCTAGAGCTCAAGCCAATCCTACTCTCTTTTGGTGTTTTCAGGTACCCATCCACACCTGTACACAGAGACACACCTATGCAAAAACTACAAATAAAATTTATCTTTAAAAATGTTAAAGTGTACACCTTTGTTTACTGAGTTCACTAGGAGAACTGCAATAATAAAAGACTGCTTTCAATGCATAGAACTCTCAAGATGTTCCTGGCAATAATAGCAGTTGCAGGAAAACTCAGTTAATGACCACCAAAAACATCATAGGTACTGTAGTGAGTGACTTCTTGCAGGCATTACTGACCTGGGGAAGGAATCAGCATGCAAATCAGAAAAAGAGGAGTCTGAGGAAATATATACCACAAACCGTCTTTTACTGGCCTAAAGTAAATAGCTTTAGTATGTTTACTGAATTTCTGATTAATCAAGGATGGCATGAACCTGGAAAAAGACTATCATAACTATTGATGCTTTTATTCTAAATATTAATGGGCAAGGCTTCAAGGAGATCAGACATGGTCTAGCAGGTTGTAATATAAAGTGAAAAATCAGAAAAGGGCTGGAGTTTGGAGTGCTGCCTAGCAACCAGGATGTGAGGGAATCATTAGAAGTTGGTAAGAACATGCTAAATTTAATTCATATTCACAGAGTTTTGTTTCAAAGAGGCACAGAAAAGTTGACTCAAAAATAGAATAATTTATATACCTTCTAAAAGGCTTTGAAGAGGTGATAGATTTTCAACATAAAATGATTCTGTTTGCTTTTGTTCTAACTCAGTGCTTGTCTTCTGTTTTTATTTTCTTTCAGTATCTGTTTTTACTGTGTGTTGAGGTTGATTTGCCCCCAAATGATTGCTATGAACAGCGTACTCATGGTGAGTCTCCCTTCTCTGTGGATATTAGGACTATGAGGGGCATCTAACTAAACACTGACCAATAAGACAGGAGGGGAGTAAGGCTTCACCAGAAATTGTGGGAATTTTCCTGTTCCAGCTGCAGGAAAAGTAAAGAAGAAACTATTCATCTTGCTAGAGATGCCAGATTTTGTTAAATGGAGAAACTCTTGGTTTACACTTAAAGCCAAACCCGTGGTCAGAACTTTGTTCATAGAAAAAAATGCATCTGTAGCTTTGAATGTGGTTCCAGTAATACAATGTAACTTCCTTGTTACTCCCTCCACACTGGGACCACAGTGGGTAGCATTCTGCGGGCTGTCCTGAAAGTGAGTCTTCAGGCATCCTTTGACCTCCCACCCTTCTGTGCTTTGACTTTCTGTGTGTTTCATAGTCAAATGTCCTGCAAAGGGGCTCTTTATTTTCTAGCTGAAATACACTGTATCCTGACCACTTGTGGGTTCGTAGGTGTGCTTTTGCTACTAAGTAGAACTCAAAGTAGGCCACTGCATTCTTCATGTCAATGCTGAATGAGTAGTCAGATGAAGCCAGACATATAAACACTTACTCTGCTGTGAGAACCTAAAACCTGGATAGGCATATGTATGCTCTGCAGAAAAGTGGGCACTGTGTTGAGCTCACTGACATATTATGGTCTGTCTCCAAAAGCACTTCAAAGCAGAACCCAATCACACCCAACTTTGCCCATTCCACTGGTTTATTCTGCGCAGACCATAAAGAAGAAAATCTTAACATAAATCAGAGAGACACTGAGTCCTGAATCCCTTGTCATTGTCTTTAATGAAATGGTAGATCTCTGCATCTCTTTAGTGGATATTTTTATTTTGCTTTAATTGTAGTTTTGGGATCAGCTAATATGTTATAAATCTGCCATAACTAAGAAGAAATTCAAAGATGGGCTACTTTGTTTACATGTTTATTTAAATGGAAAGTTGTTTTTTTTTAACTGCCCACCAATACAAAATTTAACTGGTAAACCTCTATTGTTTTTTTTCCAGATTTTCTAAAAGAATATTTTTATGTATGTTCATTGATGTTTTGGCTGCATGTATATCGGCCTGAGGGCATCAGGTATCCCGGAACTGGAGTCACAGACAGTTGGGAGCTATTGTCTGGGTGCTGGGAATTGAATGCCAGCTCCTCTGGAAGAGCAGCCAGTGCTCTCAACCACTGAGCCATCCCTGCAGCCCCATTTCCCAGATTTGTAATGAGGCATTCTAAGTTGCTGAGGGATTCTCAAGAAATGAACAAGATGTTTGACAAATGTATAGCCTTTAAGCCAAAAGATAAGCGTTTTTCTGTGGATTTCTCAGGTCATGAAAGTGCTGGGAGCATGGTGCTTCAAAACACAATCGGAGAGTGAAACGTCCGTGTAACCTGGAGGACATACCAAAGAAAAGACAGAGTAAGGACCTGATTATCTATTCACAGTGACAATCTTTAGAAAGTCCTCTCTTCCTGCTCCCCCTCCTCCCTTCCCTCCTCTTCCAGTCTTTCTTTCATAATTATATCCGGAAAGACAGCACACTTGCAATTAGGGATAAAACTCTGGTTTTCCCGAAAGATGAAATCACTACCAACTTGATTGTACAGATGATTATCCAAAATTTCATAGACTATTCAAAAGTTCAAGTATACAATAATGTAAGTATGGTAAATAAGCATGCATTAAAAAAGACATGTTGTTTGTTTGTTTTTTGGTTTGGTTTTGTTAGGAGTTTGCCCTTTTAATATGTTGTTTCCATTCTCCCTTGATGGAACAAGTGGACCATCGGAATACTAACTAATATCAATTTGGTCTGATACTTTCTGACAGGTGTATTTGAAAACAACATATTGTGTAAAGTGACACGTGTCAGCGGAGATGAGAAAAATGACGCCCAGGGCCATGTGATGGGGATCCTCTAATATAAAATGCCGTTTGTGTCTCTTCTGTGATTATTTCTATGTCCCAATTATTAGCAGCCATCAGTGCCTCAGGATGATGCAGAGCAGAGAGAAGCAAAACAAAGGCTTGTCAGTCTGCAACAGACAGATACGTCTTTGAGGTTGCAGATGGATTTATTGGCCCTCTGTTTCTAAATATGTCTGAAAGGCCTCAACAATTTCCTACCTGAAAGCAGCTGAGAGCTGAGCACCTGGAGGCCTTTCACAATGACAGTGGCGGCGAAGTTCAATGCTGCTGGAGTTCATTTTTGATGTGAGCTGCGCTGCTTACACAGGCTCAGAGAGACGCTGCTCCTCTCATGCAACCACAGGAAATGAAATGTTTCCTGCAGACGCTGTGGTTCATTTTGGCAGATTCCACTTATATAGGCTACAAAGCTGATGAAGATGTTAAGCCTCGTTTGGGCTCCATAAAACAATGTAAAATCTACCTTAATACCCTTTTTTAAATTTAAGTTTAACACCGGATTTTTTAAAGTGAGTGAATGAATGAATGTTCCTCTCTTTATGCAAAGTGTCTGGCACATTCCATGCCCTCTAATTAAAATAACACATAGTTCTTAAGTTTTTCAGTGCTACTAACTGAACTGGTGCTTTGTACCAAGCAAGGGTATCATGAAGAAGTGATTGAAAGGACATGGACATCCCTGAAATCTTTATAATATGGTGTGTGTGTGTGTGTGTGAGAGAGAGAGAGAGAGAGAGAGAGAGCATGTATGTGTGAGTGTGTGTGTGTGAGCAAGTGAGAGCATGTGTGAGTGTGAGCGAGAGAGAGCATGTGTGTTTTAGTGTGTGTGTGAGTGAGAGAGCATGTGTGTGTGAATGTGTGTGTGAGGGAGAGAGAGCATGTGTGTGTGTGTTTGAGAGAGAGAGAGAGAAAGAATGGGAGAGCATGTGTGTGTGAGTGTGTGTATGCGAGCAATTGAGAGCATGTGTCTTGTGTGTGTTTGTGAGCGAGAGAGAGCATGTGAGCATGTTTGCATGCAGAGGCAGCATGGCTCTAGGAAGGCTCATAAGCAACAACTGAACAGGCAAACACGCCACTGTAACAGAGGTATCTGTTTGTACTTGTATTATTCAGGTGATATTCTTTAACACTTAAACCCTTAGATGTGATGCAATTCACCAATAAAGTGAGGGTGTACTTTATCACCCAGATAGGAACAATCTGAGAAAATAGACACTTTCTTACTATGTTAATATCTATGATTCAAACACTAGTAGTTTGAAATTGCTTGACATCTTGAAGACCACTTGAAGCTCCCGGTAACAAGCTTAGACCAGTACAGAACACAGATGCTACCCCACTGATTCACGTTCCAGGCACCCAAGATTACATGGTTCAACCTGGGACTTGTCTCTAACTGAAGCTTGTTTCCTCTTTCATGGAAATATTGCTGGTGTAACACATTGCTAAAAGATTTTTTGTTAGTTCAGGCCAAGTAGTACACATACTTAATCCCAGCATTTGTGAGTTCAGGGCCAGCCTCGTGTACATAGTGAGTTCCAGGACAGCCAACACTTTAAATAGTAACACCCTGTCTTGAAAACTTAAAAGTGCCTGTAAATATCTAACTACCTCTATCTTTCTGAAATTATGCCACAAAACCATGCAATAAATTACTGGGGGAAATTAGTATATCTCTTTTGCTTCTGAATACCTTCTGGAACTTTCAAAGCTGTATCTGGAAAGAACACTGCTCTGAAAAATGAGAGCAGAATACACTTCCAAGGAGAGAACTAGTGACTGACGTTGGTGGCGTTGACATTTTAGCACATGTCAAGCTTTGTATCAGAGTTTGCCGAACACTGTGCAAGATCTGTGCCTTTTCCCTGTCTCCAGATAGGAGATAACACATGGGTGACAACTGCCAATGTATGTCAGTGCATCTTCGTATTTAACATTTTATAATTTACATTTTCTTTCCATATTTAATTTAAACAATATTCAGAGGATATCATTTTAAAATCCACCCCCAGATAGGATAGAATATCTTGCATCTCGGTGATTGACACAGGTTACAATATTACTGAGGCAGAAACATTGTCTGGTCAAAGTCAATTTTAAAGTTAATTTAAAAACTATATTAATTTTCCTGCAAAGGGATGAGATAATTCAAATCAGTACTTCAGTGCCATTACCACCATCATTATGGTAGGAAAAAAACTGAAGGAGATGATGACTTGGGCTATTTCTAGTGACGACAGCTTTGGGAATTATTTCTTTATCACAATACCATGAATTAATTAAAATCATGTATGTGAAAGTGTTTTGAAAATTATAGTGTTTCAGGCCCCATATGATGGCCAGATCTTTCTTAGCTGATCAGTTAATTCAGACAAATAGTCCGTTAGGTCTTTCAAGTAGTTTTTTCCTAAAGTGGGGTGGCATATCGAATTGACTGGTTTAATTATAGGCATTCTTAGCTACTACTGTCCCCTGTTTCTGGGTCACGGATGAAGTTTACAAAGAAGAATGTGGAGCAGATAAACAACTTTCCTGCCAGTCTCCACACAGAGGAGCCTAACCCACGCTGGACTATTGGAGGTGGCTGTCAGGCGGGACACAAACAGGAAGGGGTGTTACAAGTGATTGGGGAGAGAAAGAGACAGGATGGCATTGCTGAGCATGGATAATGTGGGATCCTGGCTGACTCTGGAGACAGTTCTTGGAATCTAATCACACAACTGAGACTGTACTTTGACTAAACAAACAATTGCTAACTCTCCCTTGTCTGAACATAAGCAAAAGCACCCATAGGTATCATGTATCCAGCACAGACTTTGCACCAGGTATCTGCTTGTATGCTTTTTATTTATCAGTCTTACAAGTTATTAAGTCTGAAGTGTTAGTCTGTTCTCAAGGTGCAGTTGTATCAACAGGGACTCATCCATCACCTGTGACTCCCAGAGGGTTAAAAATCAGGAGAACCAGAAGTAAGCCTATGCATAATTAAGATAATTTCATTTTCTTCTCTTTTGATTTTCTCCTGTCTTGCTTTGGTGCTTTTCAGGGTCCCATAGTTTAGCCTAGGCTACACAGCCACTTACGATCCCCCTTCATCGGCCTCCTCAAGTGTAGGGATTATGGGCATTTGCCGCTGTACCTGTCTGAGAAAATTAAGATTTTTCTGATGTCCTACATGTTGTGGGGAAAATACTGCCGTGAAGCTGCGGCATAATGGAAAAGCTCTGAGGGGGGGGAGTCCCTGTGTCCCATTTGATGTGCAGTGGAGATTGCACTAGATGACCTAAGATTATACACACAGTAAAATAGCAAGGCTGTGAGTTCAACCAACAGGTTCATAACACATGCCAGTGCCGTGTTCTCCGGAAACTCAGAGTGAAGGGATGAAGAACTGTACTGGATGTATTGTGAAAACAGTGTCTCCACTGCCACGCAAGTTCTAAGTAAGCACTACCAGCATTCACACACGGGTTTCCCTGTCTTGAATGTTATCTTTAAAAAGCTGCGGCAAATTCAACAAGCCCAGCACTCAATACCGTGTGGGTGGGGTGGCGTGGGGGTGCTGGGTGAGAGAGACATAAGGAAAAATATATAAATTCCATGAGAATTGCGGGTCTTAAGGTTCACACCTGGTTATATTTCAGGAAGCCAGCATAGTTTTTACATTGATTATGCCATATAACTTAGTTCTTTGTCCTAAGGCCAACAACTAACATCTTCAAACATGCTTTTCTGTTTTTTTTCCTTTTTATAATTTAAATTAGAAACAAGCTTGTTTCACATGCCAATCACAGTACCCTCTCTGTCCCCTCTTCCCCTGCCCCCCATGAACCCTCTATCCCATCCCCTTTCTGCTCCCTAGGAAGGGTGAGGCCTTCCATGAGGGATCTTCAAAGTCAGTCCTATCATTTGGAGCAGGGTTTAGATTCTCTGCCATGTGTCTGGGCTGAGAGACCATCCCCCTATGAGGAGTGGGCTCCCAAAATCCTTTAATGTACTAGGGATAACTACTGATTACTACCAGAGGCCCCACAGATTGCCCAGACCTCCAAACTGACATCCATGTCCAGGGGGTTTGGATCACTCCTGTACTGGTTTCCAAGCTATCAGTCATGGGTTCATGAGCTCCCCCTTGTTCAGGTCAGCTGTTTCTGCAGGTTTCTCCATCCTGGTCTTGTCCCTTTTGCTCATCACTCCTCTTTCTTTGCAACTGGATTCCAGGAGTTCATCTCAGTGTTTGGCTGTGGGTGTCTGCTTCTGCTTCTATGAGCCACTGGATGAAGACACTAGGATGGCATATAAGGTAGTCATCAATCACATTATTGGAGAAGGGCATCTAAGGTAGCCTCTCACTGTTGCTTAAAGTGTTAGCTGGGGTCATCCTTGTAGATCTGTGGACATTTCCTTAGTGTCAGATTTCTCTTTAAACCTATAATGGCTTGCTCTATTGTAGTATATCTTTCTTGCTTTCCTCTATTCTTCTACTGACTCAATCTTCCTGCTCTCTCATGTCCTCCTCTCCCAACTTCTTCTCCCCTTTTCTTTATCCTAACTCCCACTCCCCTCCCCCATTTAGCTCAGGAGATCTTCTCCCTTTCCCCTTCTTCAGGGTACCATGTCTGTCTCTCTTAGGGTCATCCTTGTTTCCTAGCTCCTCTGGTGGCATGGACTGTAGGGTGGTAATACTTTGCTCTGTGTCTAAAATCCATATATGAGTGAGTACATACCATGTTTGTCTTTTGTGACTGGTTTACCTCACTCATGATGGTTTCTTCTAGACCCATCCATTTGTTTGAGAATTTCAAGATTCCATTGTTTTTTCCCTGTTGAGTATACTCCATTGTGTAAATGTACCACATTTTTTTCCATCTATTCTTCAGTTGAGGAGCATCTGGGTTGCTTCCAAGTTCTGGCTATTACAAATAATGCTGCTATAAACATAGTTTAACAGATGATCTTGTTGTTTGAATGTGCATCTTATGAGTATATACCTAAGACTGGAATTGCTGGATCATGTGGTAGACTGATTCCTATTTTCCTGAGGAAACTCCATACTGATTTCCAAAGTGACTGTATGAATTGGCATTCCCATCAACAGTGGAGGAGTGTTGTCTTTTCTCCACATAATCTCAAGCACAAACTGTCAATGGTGTTTTTGATTTTAGCCATTCTGACAGGATTAAGTTGCTATCTCATACTTGTT